TCATAATCGTTTTACTTAACTTTTTTGATTTTTTTTTACGCAAACAGGTTAAAATTTTTATTATTAAGATGTAAAATTTAAATAAAGATGTACCATAGAAAAGTGAATTGTCATAATCGTTTTACTTAACTTTTTTGATTTTTTTTACGCAAACAGGTTAAAATTTTTTTTATTAAGATGTAAAATTTAAATTTAAATAAAGATGTACCATAGAAAAGTGACAATTGTCATAATCGTTTTACCGTAAAAAAAATCAAAAAAGTTAAGTAAAACGATTATGACAATTGTCACTTTTCTATGGTACATCTTTATTTAAATTTAAACTATACATCTTAATATTAAAAATTTTAACCTGTTTGCGTAAAAAAAAATCAAAAAAGTAAATAAAACGATTATGACAATTGTCAATTTTTTGTGTTACAAATTACAATACATCTTCATTGAAATTTTAACTTAAATTTTTTTTACAATATTAATTTTTACCCATTTATGTAAAAATAACGATTAGAAAAATTATCGCTTTTCTGAATTTAACATTTTATTAATAATATAAATTAAATTTTTACCCTTCTGTGGTAAAACTTTTTTTATAAAATACGATTATGAAAATTGTCGGTGCATCTTTATTGAATTTATATTTTAATTTAACATGCTTAAAAAATAAATAATATTTTTTTCTTTCATCAAGGCAGGAGGAGAGGTATAAAACATAAAAGAAATATTATATTAATAAAATTGAAAAACATCTGGGCTTTTAATAAAGGGGTAAAAATAAATAAATATCATGAAGTACACAAGATTTTTAAAAAATAAAAGATCTTCAAATTTTACGTTCTTCAAAGATCTAGATCTTTGATTTTTTTATAAATAAAAGATCTTCAAATTTTACGATATTTTGAGCAAATGTACAACTCTGGAAAAACATATATATTACATGAACAAAAACATAAATCACACCCTAAAGAAAGAAAAAAGTTATGCAAAGGAAAAAGAACTTCGGCGTCTAAAAAATTTTTTTTATTAAACAAAAGATTTTCTAAAAAATTTAAGAAAAATTTTTTTTTCCATTAATTACTTTTTGAGAACGTTTTAGGGGGTCATGGGGAAAGATTAACCTTGAATTCATAGTGGCGCGATTGCGATGGCGATTTAACAGCTGATTGATTTTTAAAATCTGTTTATGAGATCAATTTTATTTGTTAAATATTAATTTTATCTTTAATTCAAATTTTAATAATAATCTAAGAAATAATGATTTTAATAAAGAATAATTGATCTCATAAACAGATTATAAAAATCAATCAGCTGTTAAATCGCGATCGCAATCGCGCCACTATGTTTATTTTTTTATTATTTTATTTTTTTGTTATTATTTTTGGAGAGTTTTTATCCTCACGATATCATTCAAGGGCTTCCATGCTTTTTTATTTTTTATCAGATTCAAGAAATAAAATTGATCCCCCCCCCCCCCTAAAAAATAGGAAATGATATTTGATATAACCCCCTCCCCCAAAAACACATTTTTATAGAATTATAATTATGAGAGAACTGAGATAAAATATATAAGAAAAAATGATAATCCGTTTGGTCACGTTTAGTGTTGTTAAACAGCTTGATTTAAGCCGATAACGGCAGAAAGAAAGAAAAAAGAAAGAAATAAAAGAAGAAAAAAAAATCCAAAAAATGTCTGAAGATTTTCCTCATAGAGTGCAAAAGGTTTGGAGATATCTATCAGCGAAGATCTTGAGGCTCAGCAGGGTAATATATTTTTTTTTAGGCTCAAAAATATTAGGTCGGCAAAATCGGCACCTCAAATCGGGAGAGTCATTTAACAACACTAGAAATGTCTGGTTTTAAAATTAATTAAATCTAAAAAATTGTTAACGATAATTTGGAAAAGGTCCATCTTTGTATTAAAACATATTCCTTCATTCATTATGCACACTTGGTAACGTCTAAATGTAACAGTAAAACATTGTTAACTTGGCTAATTTATCTGGACTAAATTATAACCTTTCTTTAAGGCCGTTGCATAACTTTCGTAAGCCTATAGAGAGATAGTAAACATGCTCCGGAATCTTCTATTTAATCTTCAAGGTTATGGCAAAAAATTATCCTTTTATATTAAAAAATGTTTGACGTAGAATAATTCATTAAATTCTATATTTCATATTATATTTTTCTCGTAAATTATTTCAACAAACTATTAAAATTTTAAAATATTTCCATAATTCGTAAACACAATTAAAAAATAAAAAAACATTAGGTAATTTAGGAAAAAATAAATCTTTAAGGCCAATTATTTTAATTTTGCATTAAAAATGGCTTATTTATTTTTTCCGTTTGAATTAGTGTAATTTTCGAGATTCAATTTTTTTTTGTTTAGGACAATCTTAAAAAATAAGAATAAACCCATAAGATTATCAGGATCAAGGTCGATGAGAATCCTTTTAAGTTTGTGGGTATAAAAAAAATAAGTATTTCAACCTATCACTGTATTTTCTTATTGTTGAATGTTAGTATTGAAACTTAATATTCATTATTTCTTAATACTTGAATTCATATTAAATGATTTATATTAGAAAAATTATTCTCGATTTAAAGTTAATAATGCTTTATTATATATATATGATAAAAGAAAATAATCGGACTATTATTTATAAAATATATTTAAGAGTTATGAAACAAAATGATATCATTGTTTTTATCTATTAAAGCAAAATGGCCTTAAATAAAATATATAAATAACATAAATAATCAAAATATTAAACGCCATCTATATTTACTTTATTAATATAAGTAATTTTATAAATAATAATCGAATAAACATTTAAGGAGTCTTAATGTGTACCTAGATTTATTTCATATTTTATAAGTTTAAGTAAAATATAATTTAAATAAAGAGCCAAAACAACCAATCAAATAATTTCTAAACATTAGACAAACAGGTTGAAATTATTTTCAAAACAATGAGAGGGTGGGTTAAAACCTAGCCCATTGCAGATCTGGTAGGGTAAATTAATATGCATTCGCAGAACTTCTTCGTGGATGGGGATAATTAAAATTATTATAGGAGTAATTTAAGAATATGTTAAGAATCATAAATTCATTAAGACTACCTAAAATATTGACAATTTACAGTACATTGTACCATATACGTTTTACAAAGTATTCATGAAAAATATCGTGTATATTGGGAAATATATAATTAAGAAACATATTATAAATTTATAATGTAAAATTCAATCTTCTTTGGAATTAAGCCAATTTATACTGATTTCATCAGTGCATGGAACTCCCTATGTATATTAAGGTCTAACACCCATTCAATCGATTGAGATAGTACTTCTCAGTAATGTTGTTAAACAGCTCGATTTAAGCCAATTTTTCGAGAAAAATATTACACAAGCCTGAAGATTTTGCTTATAGATGGCACATCGGTTTGGACATCTATTGGCGAAATCTCGAGACTTGGGCAATTTTTCTGGCGAAAATATTAAGTTAACCCTTTTTAAAATCACTTAAATCGAGCTATTTAACTTTTTTTAAATTCTTGTTAAAGTTATAAAATGTTTTTTCATAATTAAAAGTACTAATAAGTGGAGTAACCAAAATATATAATAATTTGCATATATTAGGAAAATAGAGTCTAAAATAGGTTTGAAATTATGCAAAGCATTTATAGCATTCTTTTGAACATTTATCAACCATATTTAACCTTCTATATCATAGTTTTAGTAATACATAATGGTATATTTTATCCTCACAATAAAAATCTGCCAAATATTTAATTTTTTCTCTATCAAGTTTTAAATAGATTTGGAAGGATTCTGAATATTTGTAAATGCTGACTGATTAATCAAGAACCGTTCATTCATTTGAATTATAAAAGTATCCAAGAGGGAGGTAGTTTTATTTTATATTCTTCGACTGACCCTATATTAATATTAGAACGATCCGCCTTGCTGCGAGTCGAGATCGACAAATATTAAATATATAGAGTACTGCTTTTGACCCAACAATGATATATAATTTATGTAATTTGTTCAATGCTTTAAGCTATTCTCATATTCCCAATCAAATCGATGTCATTTTTTGAAATATTTTACTTGAAAAAGTTTTAAATTTGGTTAGGAAATGATAGATATAATAAGGTCAAGGAAATTTTGAAGAATAAATTAGTGGAGTATATATTTCTGCTGTGAATGCAATAAATTGGAATATATGAGATAAAATGTAGGAATCAGTAATATTTTTGATAAATATTATAGCAGGCATGATTTTTTGACTTGGGAGGTGGGGGGATCCTCTTGTACGTACATGTCTTATGCATTTTAATTTCGTCAACAATTACATCGCATGTTCTTTATCATGTAATTCTATTTTATATTTATATCTCCTAAAAAGCTTTTAATGCAATTAATATTAATAGATGTATGGGAGTAAACACTTTTAAATTGAGTTTTTTAAAAAATCGCTAAAAAAATTTGGAAGCAATGATAATATTTCCACTATTTTTTTTAGAAATTATTTTAAAATTGGTCTGGGTTCAAAGTGAAATCCAGAATATGTCACTGCCGCTATGATATAAAGGGCTTAAATAAGTTTTATTCATCAGAGATCTTCTCTATTTATTTTTTGGATGGAGATTCTGATACAAACAAACAAAAAAATCGATATTTCTATTGAGGAAAAAAGACCTTCTTTCTAATATTTAACATTAAGCGCCAATTATACCTTATGATTTCATTATTTTTATTTTAGTGTATTTATTTACGCTCAAATTAAATAGATGCATAACAAAGACCATATTAGTCTATTAATATAATGACGTTACTTTAAAGAAACTCTTAACTTATAAGAATATATTTCGTCGGTTATTTAAAATTATATGATATATAGAAACAAATCACGATTTCAAAAATAAAATAATCATAATTATACCAAATTTAAGTAATATAAATTGAGTGGAAAAATAAGTAAATTCAAGTCACACCATTCTATTATCATATATGAACACCATAATATAGATCCTAACTATTATAAATATCCAATATTACCTATGAGAAAAAATTCCTTGTCACAAAGTTCATTTAATTAATTTGACATTACATTTCTTTAAAAATATAACAATATTTTATAATTTCCATATAATTAGATAAGAGCTAGAAACATAAAAAAATTTTAAAGAGCATTTTCTGATTTTCCTTTTTTTTTGATTTTTTGGGATGCATTTTAGGTATCAAGATCGAAAGCATACTCGGCTTTGTTGTGCATGAATAAGTTGCCATTCACGAAATAATAACTATCCGATTTGGTTTCGTAAGGATTTTTAACCATGTCTCTAACTATTTATTTATTTTAATAAGGATATATATTTAAAATAAAAAAAGTAGCTAGATAGCATTTTTAAATAATATTTGCAAATTCATAGAATAAGGAAGAAATTTATAAAATAAAATAAAATTCAGGATAAAGTAATTAACAATTAGCTTAAAAACAATATATTTATATCCTAATATAGTTTATCAGCTAAAAAAGCCCTAAAACAACAATGAGTGTCTTTTTCGATAATTTTTTCACCAATATTATATTTTTTAAAAGATTAAGCAAAAAGAAAATAATTTCCCTCCTTAGATAGATTACGACGTTCGCATCGATAGTGGTAGTTTGGAAAGGTTGGGCGGAAACATTATTTACCTTTCTTTTGGGGTGTAAAAATATTTATATAATTGAAAAGGCGAGGGGGGCTCAGAGTAGGATTAGGCAAATAAGTCCGATGCAGCCTTTGCACTCCTCTATAAAATTGCCTTAAAAAAATTTACGTTCCTATTTTTAAGTATAATATTTTAAATGATTGAATATCATTCATAAATATACGGTATGATTACGAGAGAGAAGCATATTATTTTATCATTTAAGGCGACTATAACATTTATACTTTGATGGTGAGTCATTTTTGGCATTTCGTATATGTGTTCGCAGGTGTTGACGGTGTTCGGAATACAAAAACCGAAATCGAAGTCAAAAGATTTTATGAGCGTGTCGCGAAAAAAGTGATGCTCGATCATCCTGAAATCTTGTATCTCGTGATTGCCGACAGTAAACTCGACACTTGCATTATTTTAAATTTAGAAGACTAATTAAAATTTAATAGTCGAAAGTTTGGGAAGGGGCCCTCGAAGATGGTAAGTATCAATACGAAAAAAAAACGTAATGAAAGGTATAACATTATAAGTTATATAATTTTTACAGTTACGAGGAGATTGAAAGTGTTTCTAAAACATGCTACATTTAATCATATAATATTAGTGTTGTTGGTAACTAATTATATTTTTTGGTGGGAAAATAATACTGTTAATATTTAAAATATGTTAAATAATATAATATCTCATTTATTATCTTTATATGAAGATTTCATACATTTAAAGTAGGGCTTGCCGATCCACATATTTTCACCGATCCGATCCAATATTGCTTCAACCCGATCCGATATTTATACTGATTTTTAATCACCTCCGTTTGAACCAAATGTAATTAAGAAATCAATATTTTTTATGCAAAAAATCGAATTATGAATTAATTTAATTTTTTTATTTCTACAATTAAGACTATAATAAAAAAATATATATTTAATAATATATCCATTTTATGTTGGTATAAATTATAAAATTGTAATATTTAATAAATAAAATTATAATATATTCGATTTTTTTATTAATATGAGAGCCTCCAGATTTTCTGGGAATAAGCTTCAACGATATGGACTATCTATATCTCCTGCCGTACTGAAGGCAGACTCAGCCGCAGATAACGCATTTGCAAAATTATCTTTGTCTTTTTTAAAATATTTCCATATTTCAGATACCATATTTAAAAAAATTCTTTTATTTAAAGTATAAATAAAAAAATTGACGTTATTTAAAAAGATTTAAAATAAATAAAACTTATGTGTTCCTTTCTATTTTTATAAAAAAAAACTTTTAAAATACTATAAATAAATCTATTTTAAAAAAGAAATAAAATTTTAAAAAATTATTTAAAAAATATTATAATAATGTAAAATAAATATAAAATAACAAAAAAAGAAAAGAGATCAGATCGGATCGGGTTTTTGCAGGTATCGGCCCGATCCGATATTTTCGGAAAAATATCGGTACCGATCCGATATTTAATATCGGCACAGCCCTAATTTAAAGTTATATTGTTTATTGAAGTATAATACCACATAAAGTGCTACCGTAGAAGGTTTGTTTAGTTTAGGAGAGGCTTATTTTTTTTGGAGAAAAACTAGCACACCTTTAGGCACAAATTTTAAAAATAGTTTATTGTTAAAGTCAAATTAAAAGTTATTAAAGCTAAAATTTTTATGAAGAATAAATATTATATTTTAGGTGCGAATATTTTATATTATAATATTTTTTTTCCCAATGTAAATAATAGTGTTAAATGAATTTTTTTTTTTACAAATTTTAATCAAAAGTAATTACATGAAAACACAATTAACGAAATAATTGCGAGGGGAAAAAATTAAGGATTATATAAATTAATTTAAAAAATAACTTGCATATTTAATTAATTCCCTTTGAAATTTAACTGTAACTAGTTACTTTTAAAATAATCGAATTATTTATAAAAAGTAACTTTTAACAACACTAATATATATCATATATATTAGGTATACATTATGTAAGTATACTAAACCCATACAACCCCAAGCTAAAACAAATAATAAAGTTTATGGATTAAATTTAACATGAATTTGTGAGCATCAAAATGAAACCACGCTTTTAAAACATGTGAAAACAGGGGAAAAGATACTAAATAAGATAAGGAAGTGAATGATATCAAGAAGGCATCAACAAGACATAAATAGCAATTGGACAAACGATGATGAAAGTAACAAATAAATAAATAAAATTATGCTATAATGTAAATGTATTTTTGAGAAAATTTTATGTTAATTTATTTATAAATGGTGCTTAATATTACTCGAGCCACGTTTAAGTTTCATGCTTCTCGCAACAACAACAATAATAATAAACACGGAAGTAGTGTTATAAAATACGTAGTTCCGATTGTCTTAAGTTTCAAAAAATCGGGGCGAAATCTGTATTTTATAGAACGCTGTTGGCTAGTATAATCGGCCAAGTGGCTAAGCTGGACGTTATTTTCTATCGATAAAACCCACGTGATTATAAAATAAATTATTTATTTATAAAAAAAGAAAGAAAGTATATAATATAGTTATAATGACAATCGGAGTCCCATCTGATCGAACAGACATTTTCTCGGGTTTGGACAGAATAGGGAGGGCCTCAACAAGAAAAGAGAATAACCACGTGATTGTTTGTTATCATCCCTTCAGCGCTTATAATTTTCTCTATTTCGTTGAAATATCGTTATTTTTCAACATTACAATATAAAATAAAAATAGGATCGGCCTTGGAACTTTGAAAAAAAAAATTATCGAATGGGATCGGTTGGACAATAATTTTTACCGGGTCAGGTCGAACCCGAAAAATAGGTCCTTCGTAGGACTCTAGAATATAGTTAAAACTGAGAAATATTTTTTTTTAAAAAAAAAAATTTATTAGTTATTTTAACTAACACTTCCGATCCATTTTATCAGTTTAGATATACAATATATAATTCAATTATCATAAAAGTATGTATGTTAACGTTGGTCTGTAATAATTTATTTTTAAAAACTAAAATCATTTATTGAACAAGTTTTTGAAATTTTAAAAGTCTTATTTTTGCAAGTCAAAAATTCATAACATAACTCGCCCGAAATTCATACGGTATTCGGACAAAATAAGATTTTTATAAAAAATTTTAAAAAAAATCGTTCAATACATGATTTAAGATTGAAAAAAACAACACGTTGTTGTAAAAAAAAATATAATGACGCTAACATTTTATATATATTTAACTCATCGTTACAAGAAACGAGATGAATAATAAACGATTTTGAAAACGACGATAAGCTAATTAATAGGATAATTGTACCACTGCCATTGGGCAAAAGCAGGGAAGCATCTTTGGAAAATTCATGTTCACGCCAAAAAGATTTATTTATTTGAAATATGACTCGATTGGAGGGAATTTCCCTGATTTGAAACCGGGTGAAATCTATGCCGAACACATTAGCTTCCATTGGGCAAAGGTAGTCTGGTAGTTGATTAAAAATATTTTAATAATTGCAAATGTGATTAATATTTAAATATATATTATAAGTCGCATATCGGAAACAATTAACTAAGGGAGATATTTTAAAATCTGAGAAATCTGATTTGACCGGAAAGGTATTCCATTATGTAATTAAAGGGTATCCCCCATACTGTGAATATCTGACAATTTCGCGAACATTCGAATTAACTTATTCAAACGTTAATGGCGACTTCCGTTCAAAATAGATCTTTAAAAATCAATTGTTCTCAGCAAATTATTTAAAATTGAGATTCCAAATCCCAATCAATTTCATATCATCAATACGAGATAATATTAAAAATGAGAAGGTGTAATTTGTTTCTCCATAAATAAATGGATTTACCTTGCATTCATAGTAAGAGCAAATACGCGGCGAAGTACACAAAAAATGAATGTAAAAATATTATATTTATATCATATCCTGTATACTTCTTTAAGGAATTTGAGCTGTGAACGCAAGGTTAGGGGGTAATGGATATCGATAAAATAAATTATAAATAATTATGAGTTCCCAATCAAAAAATAAACCGACTCAAACTTAATCAGTTTCATATGAAAGATACTAGTTACTATTAAATAACGAAAATAAAAAAATTGAATCAAAAGTCCGTGGTAAAGTTCTTGTTTTTACTTTTATAGAATAGGATAGGAAGGTTTAAATTAGAGGTCTGCAATAGGCGGGTTTCTAACCCGCCCGCTCATCTAAATGGGCGAGTGGGTTGACCCGAAAAAAAATTCAAGTCACATAGATTCGAGAGAAATTATTTTGTTTTAAACATAATTTAACGGCCTGTTCGGTAAAATAATATGAATAAAATGCCGGGCCGAACAAAATAAGATATAAAACCAGGCCAGGCTTAAAAATATACATTTAAATTATAACAATTAACTTAGTAAGAGAAAAACAAATAATGGATCATTTATCTTTCATTTGCTTTTCCCTTTGAAACGATTTTCAAAATTATGTACAATGACAAAATTTTACCGCAAAATGATTTAAATTTTAAAAAACCAGGGCAGGGCTTCAAAAATAAAATGGAGCTAAAAAAATTTCTTCAAAATAATAGTCAGAAAAATAGGAAATTTTTCGAATCAAGGTCAAATTCAAAGATTTGATCTATGAATTGTTATACATACTAAGCAACGATTTGAATGTTTGAAAGTGCGAAATCAAATTTAAACCAATAAAATCTATATTTCAGGAAAACATATCTAGAGGTAATTCTGGGATTAATTATATAATCTTAGATTATAGTAAATGCTCCAAACCCAAATAAGCATGGGTCCACAATTAATGACCACATTAAGATATAAATGAGTATGAAAGGAAAGCTGTAGTACAATCAGAGTGAAGGAGGAAATAAAAAGATAGAAATAATTAACTTTTCATTGAGACCGTTTATTTTGGAGCGAAAAGCGGGGAACGAATTAAGGGTTTGATTTTCAACCATTCGAATGGCAATTTTATAAAAGTTGACTTTCAAGATATAATTTTATGGTATTCTATTCAAAACAGAATATCACTCTAAATAATGCCAATTCACATAAATTATCTCTCTTTTTTTAAACATAAATTATATAAGCCACCTGTAAAGTTAACTCTTTATAAAATACAAATTAAAATTTTTAAGATTTTTAATAAAAATAATTTTTTTTTGTAAAAAATAAGAAGCAATTTATTTTATTGTACTATAATCTATACACTTATATCCTTGAGAAAAAAAAGAAAACATGACTTTAAAGTTAAAAACTTTATAAGGAAGAGACAAGATAATAATAATTGTATTAAAATTGATTATTTTTAATGGACAATATGATAGCAATTTTAAACTTTGAGTAGTAATAAATTATAGCAGGTAAAGTTTTTTTAACCTGTCTTCTTTTTAATGATCATTTCGATTTTTATAGAAAAAGAGAAAAGTAATACAAGTTACTGGTTAAAGGACTATTTTTTTCATCGTTTATAGTGTGTAAGAGATTAAAGTTATGTTAAGGATACATAAGTCAAGTCATAGCCATTAGAAAAAATTTAATCTTGCTAGGTGAGCGTTGATAGGGTGACAATAAATCTAAAATAAGGTATGCAAAACCTTTCATCTAGCAAGTTAAAAAAAATTTAGGACATAAATTACGTATACAAATGTCTAATAAAAATGTAATTGAAACGAATTATTTCTATTGTGCATGTAAAGACAATTTTTGGACATATTATGAAATCGATACCTCTCAAAATTAGTATATTTACAAATGTGTTCCAAATATTTGTTCATGTTGAAAGTACTAAAATATATATATATTGAATTAATACATTTTATTAAAATAATGGAAGATTCCTGATTCATCTCATCAAAAAATAAAGGTAAATTTCTAATTCATACTGGTAAGATAATAAGGAGAAAAGAAAGGGGGCTTAATTATTCAAAAAATGGTTAGTAAAATCATCCTTTTACTAAGTGTACTTTTTACAGTCAATCACATAAGATGGGGAAAAAATGTGTACATTCGGAGCAGCCAATCCGGCAGAAAAATAGGCTTGATTTAAGTTGGCAAAATTTGTGATTTTTTGAAAAAATCAAAAATAAAATGATTTTTTAAATTTAAATAGCGATTTAAACCAAATACTCATTTCAATTATAGAGGTTACAGATTTAGATTAAAAAATATCTTACAGCATAACTTTTTTTTAACCTTAGTATAATATTTCTTTGTAAATAAAAACATAAGGCTTCAGAAGATATGGTCAGGAAATTATTGAAAAAAATCTATATTGATTGCAAAATGTCGCTTTCATTTTGAAAAAAACACTATGATATTGTAAAAGGCCATACTAAGCGTTTGCAAAAGACTACTTAGCGTTTTAAAAAATAAAATAAAGTCATAAATTATATTTAAGGATTATTATGTTATTTTTTTGACTCAAAGGCCGCACCTCAGCTCGACTCAATTCTTGTTCTTTTCTAGTCAGAGTAGAAGTCTGGAGCTGGACACCATTTTTGGTTTTTTTTAAATGATAGATTTTGACATCGAAAGATAAAATCTTTAAATACACTTAAAAATGTTTACTTATTCCTATTTGTTAAATCTAAAAAAAAATCACTATTCAGAAACAGATATTTTAATATTCTTTAAAAAAAAGAAAAAAAGAGCTAGAAACGCAACGTAACTAAAATAATAAACTATGCTTTAGTCGGTAAGGTATTTAGAAAAATATTTTAAAAAAATCCGGGTCGGGCCTGAAATTTTTTTTAAAAAAAAAGCCGGGGTAGGCCGGGCCGTAAAAATTTTTTGAAAATACCTCTGCAGGTCTTTGATATAAGTAAAATAGAATATTAACTGAATTTATAATAATATTAATGTATGGATTAAACTTTTACAAAAATGATTAAAATGTACTAAATAATTAGAAACCTAATCGGGCCGGTTCAGACTCCGGTGGTATTTAATATTATACATTGAGAAATTAACACGATTTTCTTTACCTAAAGTAATTTTCTTTGTAACAGTTTAACAATTATTTTAATGACTATTAATTATATATGTTAACGTCAATGTTGTAATTTTCGGACAATGTGTTATTTTTACAATTTTAAATCATTTTCTAGCGTTTTTGTAAAAAATCTGATTTTACCAAATATATTCTATCATGTGGAATACGCATCTTATAAATTGTAGACAATTTAGCTGTTAAACTTTGAGTCATTTTATATAAAAATATATGGAAAATTTAATATGAATTATTATATTTGGAAAAATTGTGTAAAATTCATAGGGTAGATATTCCGAACATGACGGCATACATTTCCAGTAAAATCAGATATTAAATTTTTAAAAACGTGCAAAGTTTAAAAAATAACACATTGCCGGAAAAAAAAGACATTGTGTATAATATATATAATTAGATATTAAAATTTTATTAGTAAAAAAATATAATAAAAATTAAAATTATTATATTTAAAATTAAATTTCGCTAATTTTTTTGTTTCAAAGGGAATTTTTTTTATGATAAAAAAGGATGATTCACTTACAAATAAATTATTGTATTTAAATGAATAATTGATAAAATATCGATTTTTTAATAAAATAATATTTACAAATAAAGTAAAAATGCATTATCTCAGTGAAGGTTAGAGGGAAGGGGTAAAGAAGGTAAGATCGTCATTTTTTTAAAAAATAAAAGATTAATAAATTAATTTTTGATAAATTCCTCATTTTTCCCCATTTTTTTTTCTCATTACAATCTTACTAAATATCGAAATTTTTTTAAAATAAATATCAGTTATTTTTCATCGTTGTTGAAAATATATTCCAAAAATTTTTGGCCTTTTAAGACCTAACCCAATCAGAAAACGAGTTTATTTTTTCCATCAAATTTTCCAGTTGAAAGTAGGTGTATAAGTGCTCTCTTAAATCCCTATAAAAGACATGAAGGCGGTTTACGCATATTATTTATCCTTTATATTGATGGATATTACATAGGTATTTACATATGTATAAAAGGTGGAGATAGGGCATATTGGAAAAACCTTGTCAAGTTTTCTTATCATTATTTAAATTATTAAATTATATATATATATCAATATATTTTTGGCCTAATTAATTTATAATTTTAACTTAAACCCCTCTAAATAGGTGAGATGAATATATAAAAATTTTTTTTAATATTACCTATATAGAATATGCCAAGGGTGTGCACATGTTACAGGTTTGAACTCTGACAAATTTTTATATACCCAAAATGTTTATTAAAATAACTAAAAAATTTATATATAATTAGCAAAATTTAATTGTATATTATAATTTGAACTAGAGATCTGCAAAGTTAGGCCCGGCCCGTACCCGTGCCCGAACGGGCTTCGGATTTTAAATAATTGGGTTCGGGCCGGCCGGGTCTAATATTTTAAAAAAAAATTCGGGCCGGGTGGGGTCGGACCTTGGAATTTTTTTAAATATATCTAAATTTA